TTGGAAATATCAAGGGAACATTTCATGCAAGGATGGGCATGATAAAGTTCAGAAATGGCAAGGACCTAATAGAGGCAGAAGAGATTAAGAAGAGGTGGCAAGAATACACAGAAGAGCTAGACAAAAAAAAGGTCTTAATGACTGGGATAACCACAATGACATAATCACTCACCTAGAGCCAGTCATCCTAGAGTGTGAAGTCAAGTGGGCCTTAGGAAGCATAACTACAAGTAAAGCTAGTAGAGTTGATGGAATTCCAGCTATTTCAAATCCTAGAAGATGATTCTGTTAAAGTGCTGCACTCAGTATGTCAGCAAATTTGGAAAACTCAGCAGTGGCCACAGGACTGGAAAAGTCAGTTTTCATTCCAATCCCCAAAAAAGGCAATGCCAAAGAATGTTCAAACTACCGCACAATTGTACTCATTTCACATGTTAAGAAGGTAATGCTCAAAATCCTTCAAGCTAGGCTTCAACAGTACGTGAACTGAGAACTTCCAAGTGTACAACCTGGATTTCGAAAAGGCAGAGGAACCAGAGATCAAATTGCCAACATCCACTGGATTATAGAAAAAGCAAGACAATTCCAGAAAAACATCTACTTCTGCTTCACTGACTATGCTAAAGCCTTTTCCTGTGTGAATCACAACAAATTATGGAAAATTCTTAAAGAGATGGGAATACCAGACCACCTCACCTGCCTTCTGAGAAACTTGTATGCAGGACAAGAAGCAACAGTTTGAACTGGACATGGAAAAAACAGCTGGTTCAAAATCATGAAAGGAGTATGACAAGGCTGTATGTTGTTACCATTTATTTCAATTATATGCAGAGTACACCATGCAAAATGCCAAGCTGGATGAATCACAAGCTGGAATCAAGATTGCCAGGAGAACATCAACAACCTCAGATATGCAGATGATACCACTCTAATGGCAGAAAGTGAAGAGGAACTAAAGAGCCTCCTGATGAGAGTGAAAGAAGAGAGTGAAAAATATGGCATAAAACTTAACATTAAAAAAACTAAGATCATGGCATCTGATCTGATCACTTTATGGCAAATAGAAGGGAAAAAAGTAGAAGCAGGGACAGATTTTATTTCCCTGGGCTCCAAAATCATTGTGGATGGTGACTATAGTCATGAAATTAAAAGACGCTTGCTCCTTGGAAGAAAAGCTATGACAAACCTAGACAGCATATAAAAGCAGAGCTATCACTATGCTGACAAAGGTCCATATAGTCAAAGCTGTGATTTTTTCCAGTAGTCATGCATGGATATGAGAATTGGACCATAAAAAAGACTGAGCACTGAAGAATTGATGCTTTTTTATTGTGGTGCTGGAGAAAATTGTTGTGAGTTCCCTGGACTACAAGGAGATCAATTAGTCAATTTTAAAGGAAATCAATACTGAGTATTCATGGGAAGAACTGATGCTGAAGCTCCAATGCTTTGGCCACCTAATGCAAAGAGCCAACTCATTGGAAAAGATCCTGATTCTAGGAAAGACTAAACGCAAAAGAGAAGAGGGTGGCAGACAATGAGATGGTTAGATAGCATCACCAACTCAATGGGTGTGAATTTGAGCAAACTCCAGGAGATGGTGAAGGACAGGGAAGCCAGGTGTGCTGCAGTCCATAGGGTTGCAAAGAATCGGATACAACTGAGCAACTGAACAACAACAAGTAGTTGATATACAATGTTAATTTCTGCTGTACAACAAAGTGATTCCATTTCATATATATATATACACATATACATATATATACACAAATATATATATATATTTCCCAGGTGGTGCTAGTGTTAAAGAACCAACCAGCCAATGCAGGAAATGTAAGAGACACGGAATCCATCCCTGGGTCAGGAAGATCTCCTGGAGGGGGGCATGGAAACCCACTCCAGTAAACTTACCTGGAGAATCCCATGGATAGAGGAGCCTGGTGGGCTATAGTCCATAGGGTCACAAAGAGTTAGACACAACTGAAGCAACTTAGCACACATGCACATACACTCTTTTTATAGTCTTTTCCATTATGGTTTATCATGGGGTATTGGTTATAGTTCCTTTTAGTTTGCTCTAAGTAAGGCTTTGTTATTTATCCTTTCTATAATAGCTCTTATCATTGTGTGAAATAGCCTTCCCCTGTTACTGGCTTACTTGTTGGTTGCTTGTCTCTTCTACCAAAATGTAAATTTCAAACCAAGAGCAGTGCCTGGCATGAGTGAGCCAGGAAATATTTGCTAATTGAAAAAAATGAACCCCCCTAAGTGGAGACCAAAGATCTGTTTGCTCCAAATCTAATAGATAAAGCTCTTATATGAATTCTCTCCAACTCTGACATTCACAATCACTTGCTCTTTCTTCACATCATCACTTCCCTCAGCTTCTGCGACCCTGTGTTGAGACCCTGGTCTCAGGGACTCTGCCTGCCAGTTTCCCTCAGAGCTCCTCTTCCTCGGCCCATCCCCAACACACTGCTCTTCAGGGAGTCCCATCATAGCCCCTCTTCTCCCATCCATGTCATCTAGTGAGGTGACCTCCACCACTCCTGCTTCATCAATGACCATCTATTTTCTCATGACTCCAAAATCTGTACCTCTACCCCAGATGCAAGCAGCCACTGGGAAGTCCCACAGGTCCCTCCAGTTGAATATTTCCAACCTGAACTCATCACTTCCAACAACCCCAAGCCACACCCTCAACAACTGCTCTCAGGAGTTGCACCTGAGGCTCCTGCTGCTGAAGCTTCTAGTTTCTATGGTGGAATTATTCTTCTGGATTATTGTAGCATTGGATCACTACACCCTCTAATGGCCTCCATGAAACCCTGGCTCCCAAATAACACAAGTGACTCACTCTTCAGCTTGAAGCTCTCAGTGGCTTCCCACTTTCCTAAACTCAAGATCCAAATTCCTCCCCCACCCCATGCCTTCAAGGCCCTTCATGATCAGTCCCTTTCACATACCAGCCATCCCAACCGTGTTCTCCCCCACCCCGCGGAACCACAGATGCACGTCTTTGGTGTTGTAACTACCCTTGCCTCCCTCCTCTCTTTACCAGGATTCAGACAGTATTTGTAAGAGCAACAGGTGAATGGAGAACCTTTCTTGGTGTTTCCAGTACCCTTGCTCTTGAGTCACTGTTTCTTTGGTCTTGGCCTCATAAGGCTTTGAACCTTCTTTTTTTTTTTTTTTTTTTTGAACCTTCTTTTAAAACAGGTTTCTCGTCTCCTTCAGGGGCTTCACCCGGTGGCTCAGACAGTAAAGAATCTGCCCGCAGTGCAGGAGACCTGGAGTCGATTCCTGGGTCGGGAAGATCTCCTGGAGAAGGGACTGGCTACGCACTCCAGTATTCTTGCCTGGAGAATTCCAAGGACAGAGGAGCCTGGCAGGCTACAGTTCATGGGGTTGCAAAGAGTTGGACACAACTGAGTAACTAACACTGCATATTCTCTTTCTTCCATTACCAGTACTCAAATAGTCTTTGCTTCCAATGCAACTGGAGATCCCTCTTTGAAACAATCAATGGGGTTTTTAATATCCCCATCTTTCTTCTCAGGCCCTAATCCTAATTTTTACATTCCTTTCTTCAGTGCTGCATCACAAACCAATATTCTAACAAGTTTTGGAGTGTCTGGGTTGATGGGTAATTAGAATTTGCATCTCCAAACTAAGAATTTAGCTCCATATTTACATTGTGCCATCCCTGGGTACAGTCAGTAACACCGACTGAGCATCTTGGCAGCTCTCAAACTGTATAAAAGAGAGTCAGATATAACGTAATAGGTCAAGGATAACTGATGAACAAGCAATTTATTGTAAATAAGATGTGAATTAATGAGTTTCATATTAAAACAAGGGCTTCCCAGGTGGCGCTAGTGGTAAAGAACCTGCCTGCCAATGCAGGAGACATAAGAGACACAAGTTCAATCCCTGGGTCAGAAAGATCCCCTGGAGGAAGGCAGGGCAACCCACTCCAGTATTCTTGCCTAGAGAATCCCATGGACAGAGGAGCCTGGTGGGCTACAGTCCATGGGGTCACCAAGAGGCGGACATGACTGAAGCGACTTAGCACGCACATATTAAAACAAGCATTCAAGAGTTACAATGAAAGCACTGTCTGCTCCAGGACTGTGACCGTTCAGCCTCTGTGGTCTGTCCCCAGGCCCGCCATCACTGCCTGGCCAGCTCCTCGGCATGCTGGACAGATTACGTGAACACACTCCCTGCTAAACCAACTCAGGAGTAGAACTGAGAGGATCCCCTCCTGGCTGTCGATCCAGCCAGCTTCCCGGTCAGGCAGCCCCGGAGGCACGCTCAAATGACACGCCCCTCAGAGGGTCACGCCCCTGCTGCCTTCCCCCAGGTGTTACTATTCGGGCTGACGGTGACAAGCCCTGGTGGTTGTGGCCGGTGCTCTGTGCTGTTTCCCCCAACTGAACAGACCTAGGGAACAGCAGCACCAAGGACGACCCTGCAACCATCTCACACAGCGTCCTTGCCAGGCTCCCTCCGGGAGTGGTACAGCAAGGAAGAGGGCAGGAAACCCATCACGCAGATGAACCGTGCTCACACCGGGCAAAGCTCAGCCCCGACAGGCAGCTTCCACGTGACCCTGAATCACAGTTTTGAGAACGCAGAGCCAGGCACCCCCGCATTACCGCACTCTTCTGGCCTCAGGGACATGGGATTCTATCAGTGGTGGGAGCCTGTTGTGGCCAGTTTCTCAAGGCTGTGCCATACAAAGACCTTGAGAGGCCCATCTGAGTCTATTAATGACCATGGAAGCCACAGAGCAACAGGTTTCCAAGGCTTGGGACAGAGTCTCCTAACAACAGCCACAAAATGTACTTACGTTGCAAAGTGTTAAAATAAACAGACTGGCCCTGGTGCTCAGCTGGGCACTGGGTGCTAGGTGGGAATTTAAAAAGGAAAACCCCTGCACTGGAGGCAGCTGTGACCTAGTTTAGGAAGAAAGACCTCTGCATAGAAAATGATACCTTGTGCTGGAGGTCTCGGCCTGCTGCCCCATGCCGCCCAAGCCATGCTCAGCTGCTGGGAGGGTCAGCACAGGCAGGCTGCATCTGGGGGCCACAATGGGCATGGTGCCCAGGGCCTGCAATAGGTTAGGGGCCCTGAAAATGTTTTAACTCCGTTTAAAACCAGAAAGACTGATGCTGAAACTCCAATACTTTGGCCATCTGATGTGAAGAGCCAACTCATTAGACAAAACCCTGATGCTGGGAAAGATTGAAGGTGGGAGGAGAAGGGATGACAGAGGACAAGATGGTTGGATGGCATCACCGACTCAATGGACATGAGTTTGAGCAAGCTCCAGGAGATGGTGAAGGACAGGGAAGCCTGGAGTGCTGCAGTCCATGGGGTCACAAAGTCAGACACAACTGAGTGACTGAACAACAGCAACAAAAATCAGGAGGAAAAAAGTGAATATAGTCCAATATGACTTGCATTCACCTGTCTACCAATGCAAGCACAAGGTATTTTTTTTTTTTTTAATGCAAGAGGAGGCCCAAGAAAGGTGAAACTTTCTGAGAACTCCAGAAATTATACTGCAGCCCTGACCAAACCAAAGGGAAACCGAACCAGCAGCTGCACAAAATGCCCAATTCCTATTCCGCCCTTGCATGGGCAGCTGCCAGCTACACAAGAAACATGCCAACCCCAAGAGTCCTGGAGCCAGTCCTGAGTAGCTGCTTTGCTCACAGGCATGTGAGCACTGCCCTGGACCTGAAAACGAAGTGCTGATAAGAGTGATTATGGTGATAATCATTGCAACCATTTAATGAGTACTTCCAGGGTGCATCAGATTCAGTACTAGAAGCTTTACATGCTTGATCTCACTTAATCACCTCTAGGCCTTAGAAGGTAGATGCTATTACCTGCATTTTAGAGATGGAGAAACCACAGCTCAAAGAATTTATCTAATGTGCCCTGGCCTCAGAGCCCTACACTGGCAACTGCAGGGGGCACCAGCCACGGTATATTCCCTGAACTGATCCCCCAGAATCACATGATATGACAATGCTGGCTGGTGAGCTGACAATGCTCACCTTATGTTTTGCATCCCAGAATCACATGATATGACAATGCTGGCTGGTGAGCTGACAATGCTCACCTTATGTTTTGCATCTTCACTCCTCTGCCTCTGTAATTTCCGATTTTTCCCAAGCAAGAGCACACGCCCCACCAGACAAGAGGGAGTACACAAGAGGAGGGCCCCAAATTCCCTAAAAGTCCAAGTTTTCCTTAAAAGACCACACGCCTCAGATGACAGGACAAGGGCTCCTCTTGGCTGCGCCCCGTCGCTGCTGCTGGGGGAGCCTGTGCGTACAGCTGTCTGGGGGAGGGCAGTGCAGGTGGATTTCCTGCTTGCTCCAGGCTTTCTCCTCTCTCTAGCATTGTTGTTGAGCACGTCTTTGCCAGTTTTCCTTAGATACTCTCCAAAGACCTTTGTAAGCATGTCTGGATGAAGGCGATAAACTTAACTGCTAATTTTTGTCTGTGTATTTCCCATAAACCATCTAATATCTTCTATGGGCCAAGCTGAGTATAAACACTAAGTGATAAGTTGTGTTGTCACTTTTTAGTCACTCAGTCACATGTCCAACTCTTTTGCGACCCCATGGACTGTAGCCCACCAAGCTTCTCTGTCCATGGGATTTCCCAGGCAAGAATACTGGAGTGGGTTGCCATTTCCTTCTCCAGCGATCTTCCCAACCCAGGGAATCAAACCCACGTCTCCTGCATTGGCAGGCAGATTCTTTACCCCTGAGCCATCTGGGAAGAACTGTAAGTTGTGTAGTACTTTGCTATTGAAAGTGTGGTCCCTGGATCAGCAGCATTTGGAGCATGCTAGAAAGGCAGAACTCAGGCCCTGCAGATGCCTTCTTGACTTGTGTGTGCCTTGAGGTTTGAGAGGTGTCAGGGTGATATGGAAGAAGGGAATCACTAAGATTGTCAAATCTGGCTCTACATTGAATCACCAAGAGCTTTAAAAATTACTGATGCATGGATCCTATGCCAGAGACTCTCATATGACTGGTTTAGGGAGTAACCTGTGCATTTAGGATTTTTTTTAAGCCCCCAGAGTGATTCTAACATGCATCAAAGTCTAGAACCCCTTGAACCAAGTGATGTGAGATGGTGAGGCTTCTACAGAACTTGGAAAGGAGGGCATGGCAGGTGTGTGGAGGTGGGTATGACATGTATGTCATGGGGGTAGTGAGAAGGCCCATCCGAAGAGAGAGAGCAGAGGGCCTGTAGAGGCCGACAGGGATAAGGGCTTGGGGAAAAGGCTATGGTCACAAGATTCAGACTTGAAGTGGTAAGAATACAGTGTTGCAAGAGATAAAAACCACTCTTAGCAAAGCTCGCTCTGACAAAGGTTCGCTGGACAGGATGGAGAGTGGGGAGCCTGGGTCAGAGAGTCCAGCTGTTCATAGGAGCCCACATAAGAGTTGATGAGCTCGGAAAGGCAGAATGAGTCTCAGAAGAAATGTAAATGAGGACAGGCATGTTGGGTTCATTTGCCAGGGCTGCTGCAAAAGCATTACTAAGTGGGCAACTTAGACAACAGACATTCATCGTCACACAGTCCTGAAGGCCAGAAGTCCACGTTCAAGGTGTCAGTGGGTCTGATTCCCTCTGAGGGCTGTAGGGAAGAATCTGGTCCACGCCTCTCCCCTGGCTTCTGGTGGTTTGCTGGCAATCTTTAGGGCTCCTTGGCTTATAGAATCATCATCCCTGTCTCTGCCTTCTTGTTCCATGGTGGTCTCCCTGCACACGGCTGTGACCAGATCTCCCCTTTTCATGACGATATTAGCCTTCCCTGGTAGCTCAGATGGTAAGGAATCCACCTGCAATGCAGGAAACCTGGGTTCAATTCCTGGGTTGGGAAGATCCCCTGGAGAAGGAAATGGCTACCCACTCTAGTATTCTTGCTTGAAGAATTCCATGGACAGAGGACTCTGGCAGGCTACAGTCCATGGGATCAGAAAGAGTCAGACACAAAACACCTCAGTTTAACTTCATTACTTCTGTAAAGCCCCTATGCCCAAATACAGTCACATTCCGAGGTACTTGCTTTAGAACTTCAGCAGATGAATGTGGGGACCACACATTCAACCAGTTAGACACACCAAAGGGAAACAATCTCACAATACAAATAACTGAAGTCAGCTGGATGGAATCTCCATTCACAGCTTCTGAGGTTGGTGAGGATCTCATTTATCTGGAGGCAGATGCAATAAAAATGAAACTAAAGGAGACTTTCTTTGCCAGGAAAGCCAGCAAAAAATCTTTTATAATTCAGTTTTTCTTACATCACAGCTATGACAGTTGGTTTAAACGTATCCACTTACAGAGCTGGGATTTACAGTTCCAGGTGTAATATGAAAAAGCAAATGATCTTCTGTATATAGAAATAATGGACACAGCCTAGCAGATGTATCAGCAGGCCCTGGATGGTTGGACAGAAAAGGAAATAGAAGAGTCCCTAGGTAGGTGCTGAGCTCTAACAATGCAGCCGGTGGACTGTGGGCCATGGGCTCAAGCTCATGTTCAAGGAGGCAGGAGCTTTCCAGGGTCAAGAACAAAGGCCACAGAGGTGAAGGAAGCCAAAGGGTGAAGTCATGAAGGTGAGGTTCTTGGCAAGACACACCTCTGGTGACTCTGATCTGATGGCAGAGGCAGTGTGTGCGGTGGGAGAGGCAGTAATCCGGGTCTGAACAGCCTAAGGGCCAAATCTCCAGCTAGACGAGGGTATGACCCTCCACAACTTCAGGAGTGCCCGACGTGGTTCTGCTGCAACTGAACAGTGGGGGCACAGAGCTCTGTCAGCTTTGTTTTCTTCTAGTAATAGAGATGGGCTTAGAAGGGCAGCCGATCTCAGATGTTATATGCATTGGAACCACTGGAGGGACTTAGTAAAACAGATTTTCTGGATTCACCCCTAGAATGTCTGATTCGGTAGCTATGAGGCAGGAGCCAAGCATTTGCCTTCCAAACAGTTTCCAGGTGATGCTGGACAGTGGGCCACCGTTCGAGAGGTGCTCTGCAGAGTCAGGCTCTCGCACCGTCTCCCCATCGTGACAAATGACAAATGTCTGAGGAGCAACCAGTCAAGGTGCAGTCTGTGACCATGGCGGGTAATTGTCCTTTTCACTATTTATTGAGGCTTAAGTTCAGATGATTAGATAGCATCACCAACTCAATGGACATGAATTTGAGCAAACTCCGGGAGATAGCAGAAAACAGGGGGCCTGGTGTGCTACTGTCCATGGGATCACAAAGGGTTAGACACAACCTAGCAACTGAACAACAACGAATTCAGTATCTCCCAGGTTCACTGGCTTCATGCTCTAACCAATAGAAGCAAGTGGTCTCCACTTTTAAATCTTCCCGGATCTAAAGGAGCCTGACAAGAAGAGAACTATTTGATCTCCATGGGTGATCATTTAACCCAAAAGTACAACCTCAAGGATGTGAGAGAGATCCTCACATGTACACAGTCATTGCTCTGTGCAATTACCTCGTTTTGCAATTGGTCGTTGCAAATACCGACTAGAATAGCCAAAGCTGGAAAAATCTAAACGGCTAGCTAAAGAAGAATAAATTATGGAATATCCATACTAAATAATGCAACACAGGAATTTAAAAGAATGTACAAACATGAAAAATCTACAAGGTATAATTAGAGGAAATAAAGAAACTACAAAACAATACATACTAAATTATCTAGTTCACGATTTTTTAAACACACAAAGATATGTGTACAAAAGCATAAAAATAGCCTGGAATGATACACACTAAGCTCTTAACAACAGTTATTTTGAGGAGAAGAGGGCAAATGGGAGAAGAATTATCTCAGTTTCTCATGCAAAGAAGATTCTGTCTTTGGCTTTTGCCATAGTGGAAAGCGCTGGGCTCTGCCAAGCCCAAAGCAGTTCTGGGGTCCCCAGTACAACCAAGATATAATCTTGGCATCTAGTCCCATCACTTCATGGCAAATAGAAGGAGAAAAGTCGAAGCAGTGACAGATTTTATTCTCTTGGGCTCCAAAATCACTGCAGATAGTTAATTGCACCCATGAAATTA